TGCTCACTTTTTTTATTCAGCAGTTATATTTTTAAGCCTATTTCCAGCTTGTATTGATTCATGAACATTCAGTGTTGGTCTGGAGGGAGTGATTTTTTTAAAAAAGATCAATCAACTTCTTGGCATAAGAAAGACTGTGTCATCTGGCTGATGTGAAAATAGTTAAATACTGGAAACGTTGTGACATTTCTGCATGAAGAATATTTGAAAATAGTTTACTTGTTTATCAGGCTGCCACATTTGTTGTGGAATTGAAATACCGTTATTCTTAACTCTCAGATATGATGATTTGTGTAATGTTTTGGTTTTTTAAACTGTACCAAAGGCTCCCTGAGTACACAGATTAAGCTTCACAATGTTCTGTATAAGAATAGAAATAAGAAGCATGTGTCTAAATAAGTGGGTTTTATTATTTGAGACCTGGATTGTCAGGATTAAAGCCATAAATGATCAAGTTGTTATCTTTTTGTTTCAGTCCACTAATTCATCCATTACTAATTGAGCCTCTCCTAGGTTTTGAAACATAGATCGGCAATCCAAGGTCAAAGTTTTCATAGGGGCTGGGGCAGGCAGATGGTAATTTAAAAAAAAGGGGTAGTGGAAGTCCTAGAAATGGCTACTGTATTGTTCAGCAAAGAACCTTATACTGTGACATTGAAAAGCACTACTGACTTCTCAAGTATTTTCAACCCCAGAATTTCATTCTTCCTGTGAGATTTGCTGTTTGCTCCTTCAGAGAGATTACTTACCCTAGAGACAGATGATGACAAGCTCTCTTTACTAATATTTCCTAAGCCATGGGGCTTCCTTCCTTTACATCTCTGCACTTGTCACGTGGTTTTTTATTTATTCACTTTTGACAAACTTCTGAAGTGATCATTTCCTTACTCACTGTTTATTGTGCTACTGTATTGTCTATTGCTGCCTTACAAATTACCCCAACGCTTAGTGACTTAAAACAACAATTGACGTTCTCTCAAACAGTTTCTGTGGGGAAGGTATCGGGAGTGGCCAACTGGGTGGTCTGCTTCTGGATCCGTCTGGGCTGCAGTCATCTGAAGGCTTTTACTGGGGCTGAAGGGACTGCCGCTAAGATGGCCCATTCATATGCCTGGCGAATTAGTTCTGGTAGTTGGCAAGAGGCCTCAGTTCCTTGACACATGGGCCACCCGAGTGCCCTCACAAAATGACAGCTTGATTTACCTAGAGCGAGGAGTCAAGAGAAAGCAAGGCGGAAGCCACACATCTTTTATGAGCTAGCCTCAGAAGTCACACATTGCCATTACTGCAATATCCTATTGTTACACAGGGGTGCCCTATTCATCATGGGAGGGGACCACATGAGGGTGGAAGTACCAGGAGATGAGCATTATTGGGGCTGTCTTGGAAGCAGGCTACCACAGCTGTTTAATTTCTCTCTTGTTCATCCTTTGTTGTTTCCGTGTTTTGGACAGCAGTGTGGAATTAGAGTGGCCATTCTATATACATAGCTTCTCATGAAAGAATTTGAGAAGCACCTAGCTTCCAAATTGTCAGGAATATAGTGATGGATCATAAAATTGCATTGATTTAGAGTTTACTAATTTAGAATTTGTGTTAGGAGCCATTTACAGGATTCTTCTTAAGTAACAAATTTAGAATAATTTCATTTGGGAAGGCCTTTTGACTGGGGAAGATGAGTGGATGTAAAATTGAAAATTATAGATTGTTAGCAAATATCTCTTTGATAGTTATGTGTCTTAGTGCTTTTGGGCTGCTATAACAAAATACCAGAGACTGGGAGGCTTATACACAAGGGAAATTTATTTCTCACAGTTCTGGAGGCTGGGAGTCCTAGATCAGGGTGACGGCACAGTCTGATAAGGGCTCTCACTGGGTGGAAGGGGCTAGGGATCTCTCTCGAGCCTCTTTTATATGACACTAATACCATTCATGAGGGCTCCACCCTTATGGCTAATCACCTCCCAGAGACCCCATCTACTAAGGCGATCACCATTTGTGGTTTAGTATTTCAACATGAGTTTTGGGTAGGACATAAACATTCAGACCATAGCATTATGTAAATAGACTTATTCTGAATCTGTAAATTTCCTTCAACTTATCTCATTGTACCTAATAGTATCTATTGCCCAACTGAATTTAAAAATTACATTTTTTAAAATTTCATCACTAGGAATTTAGGTTTTGTTCCTCCATAGGAAAAAATGTTACATTCTTCTTGTGTTCTTTGAATTGAACTCCTGTTCCAAGGCTAACCCGCAATTATTTCATGTGTTAGAGACTATTTTTGTCTTGCAAGTTAGAAGGCAATAATACTATTGCAATTTTAGTAATTAAAGAAATCAGAGAACTGTGATCTTGAGTAGGAGGAATAATCTTTAATCTGGTGCTTAAGGAAAATTTATGTAATTTAAGAGAAAGTCTTATGAAAAATTTAGGGAGACTCTGAAAGCGGTCTCTGGGTTTCATTTAATTAATTAATTTAAATTATGTACATATACACATACATACATACAAAATATACGCAAATGACTCAAACTCTGTTTTCATTGTCATTGGCCTCAAGGGGTTTTTTGATTTGATTTTGTTTTTTTGGTTTTAGGGATATTTTTGGGGGAAGGAGGAGCTAAAATAGAATGGAGAAAAGAAAAGACTTGACTGATGTTATCTAGTAAGTCTGAGAAGAGAAAGCATGTTGGAGACTGGAAGAGAATGAAGAAGTTTGGGGGAAAAAGGGCTGGATTTTAAAAATTTTCAAATTTCTCATAAAAGAATTATTATGCTGTTTTTCCAAATAAATAGTAATAAAATAGAAAGTCAATTGATAGGTTAATGCTTAATGGATGTGAGTGTAGAGTAAGTAATGTACAGACAAATATATGTTGAGTGAGACTATGGATGATCTTTTTTGGTTAATTCATGACAAATTACAGTCTTCTGTGAGTCAGTAATATTGTACTTGAAAATTTGATCCTAGGTAACAAAGCATTCCTTTAATCTTGGAATTGATTGCTCTTTATTTTACCTTTTGTGGGTTCATATGCTGGTGTAGATAAATAAATGTTAGAAGATTCTATGTAGTTAATTACAGTTTTGTATTCTTTCTAGAGTAAATGGGGTGAAATCATATTGAGAAACAGGCTAGACATTGGGAAAAATTTTCATAACTTTCCATTTATGAGTCTTGAAACAGAAAATTGGTAAAATGCCCTCTGGAAGCTGAGTCATCTATTATGACTAGTTTTAGGATATGCCCTTCTCTAAGTTTCAGAGATCCTTGCTGGATCTTTCATTTTTATAATTTCTCTTAATTCAACGATATTTTAATATTTATACCAATTTTTAATCAATTATTTAAAATTTTCCTAACTATTATAAGTGGATTTTTGTTGTTAGTGCTGTCGAATTGAATCTGACTACTAGCAACCCTGTGTACAGCAGAGTGGAACCCTGTTCGGTCTTTGCGCCATCCTCTCACCTTCCCTGTATCGGACAATGCTCCGCTGCTATTCGTAGAGTTTTCATGGCCAGTTTTTCCAGAAGTGGGTGGCTAGAGCCTTCTTCCCAGTCTGTCTTAGTCTGTAAGCTCCACTGAAGCCTGTCCACCATGGGTGACCTCGCTGGTATTTGAAATACTGAGGGCAGAGCTTTCAGCATCACAGCAACACGCAGCCGCCACAGTGTGACAACTGACAGACGGGTGATGTGGTTCCCTGACTGGGAAACGAACTTGGGTTGTGGCGGTAGGAATGCTAAATCTTAACCACTAGACCACCAGGGCTGGTGTAAGACTTAGAGTCAGTGAATTAACGTTGAATCAGAGTCCATATATAATGTGTGAACCAGGAGTTACCTCACTTCAGAATGCTCACAATTTGGTTGGGGAAACGACTCATATATATAATATTAAGTAATGGAGACAAAAAGTTTGTAACTAACTCTTTTTTAGTGATTTCTTTTTACTAGTCAAAATTTAAAGTGTATTATCCTAAAGTAAGCTTTAGAATTGAATCTAATTTGGGTAATAATATATTTGCCAAATCTGATGCTTATAGCCTCCCTCCGATCCCTGCATGTATGAGTTGAAAATGCCCTGCCCTGCAGAAAGGTTCTGAGTTGGAAGAAGACTTGTGTCTTCAGATAGAATGAGGTCAGAAAGTCCCTGGGGATTAAGATTACTTATTTAGAGGGATGCCAGTGAAATTCTCACACTCCAAGTTTCTAGAGCAACCAAGTTACTTGTGAGAAGGAGACTAGCAGAACTCTTCTGCAACAGTAGAAATGAGACGACAGTGGAACAACATCTCTAAACCATTGAGAGCAAAGGACTGCAGATGAAAAATCCTGTAATAGACAATAGATGTCAGGGCAGAAAACAGACTTTTGGAAATGCAAGGAATACCAGCTATGGACCTGAAATGCTGAAGAATCTATTTGAAGTATTCTGCCAGATGAAAATTGAAGCACAACATAGTTCTGAAGATAAAAGAAGCAAATGAGGATAGGAAATAAATGCAGTTTTATGGGAAACCTGTACAGTATTATAAGTAGTTAAATCTAAACGGATAGAGTTAATCAAAATCTTTGTTCTGCTTTTATGTCCCTCTCCACCTCATCCCAATGCATCCCCCAACCCCATCCCCCACACCCTTCTTTACTGTCATTTCAGTGGATTTTCAGGAAGGAGATGAGGTTAAAGCATGTGCTCCGTCTAACAACCTGGTTTAGACAATCTGTCTTTAAAATGCTATACTTCTTACCACAAAACCGTTGTTGTGAAAAGTTGTTAATCAGCACTTCTATTGCAAGCAGCAGAAACCAGCTACGGCCGATAAACAAAAAGGAATTCAGTGATAGGATACTGGTGACTCGTAGCATCCTTGGGAAGGCTGGAGAACCAGGCTCAGTTGATTGGCTAGAAATTGTATAAAACTTAGCAATGACAGCACTGTATCTTCATTTAGGAGTAAATTGCCTTTTTCTTCTCTTTTCAAATGTAGGTTATATATTTGGGGAGAACTCCAGAAGAAGCATATAGAATATTAATGTTTGGAGATACATCTTATATTCCTTTCAGGTAAATATAAGAATGATATGGTAGATTCATTTAATCAGGCCCTTGCTGGAAATATCTTGATGTAGTTGTTTCTGAAAAAAGAAGAGCTGGTAAATAGTCATTTTAGGGTGGGTTCAAGTAAGATCATAGATCTAGGTTACTCAATCTTGTTGTAGAGTGCTGTGTACTGTAGGATGTTTAGCAGCATCCCTGGCTCTGCCCACTAGATGCCAATAACACCTCCAGCCCCACAAAATTAATTGTGAAAACCAAAAATGTCTCCAGACATTACCAGATGTCCCCGATGGTGATGGTGGTGGTGGTAGGCAATTGCTCCTGCCTGAGAACCAGTGCTGTGTCATCAGATGAGAATCCTGGAGTTCTGGGACTCAAAACTACCCCTGAGGAGTTAAGAAATAAGTTTTCCCAATAATCAGGAGTTGCTTTCTGGGGCAAAAATGAACCCCTTTTTCCTAGGGACACTGCCAGCAGAGAGAGAGTCGATGAGGTTGCTAATGTAGCACCACTCCTTGAAAAACCAAACGGCTGTGTTGTAGAGGTGGTAGATAAGTAACGTCTTTCCTAAATGGATAACATCTCATCCTCATTTTACCAGGTGATTGTGTTGAAGATATTTTGAAAAAACTTGTGGGGTTTTTTTCTTTAAATCATATTAAGTTCTAAAAGTTTCTCTACTTGTTTATCAAAATGCTCGACTTAGCTATATACATACTTGTATAGTGCTTAATGTGTAATAAATGTGTGAAATAATTTTACTCATTGCATGCTATATTCGTGATTTCACATATTGCATTATTCTTCCACTCACAAATTAGGTAATAGTTTTAGGATTTTTGCATATACCTTGAATGCCTGATTTTGAAAGTTGTGAATCTGACTTCATTGTGGACAAGCTCGGGATGGGTCTCCCTAATCTTAGGCAGAATCTCTTTCTTAAAAAACTGCGTCAGATCATCCATGGACTTACTCCGTGAAATAGAGATTTGTTAGGATAGTCTGCAGTGTTCAGTCATAAAGACTGTATGTTTAGGGAGTTAGCAAATTAGAACAATTGCTTTGAACCCAGTTGCTTTGAACCCAGTATCACCCCCTTTCTTCTAAGCTCGTGGATCATCTTAAGTATTCTGTTTATTTAAGGTGGGTAGGAAGGGATGAAGGTTATTTTCTAAACTGTAGTGTTCTCCATTTTCTTTCTCAACCTGTAATATAATAGCAACCGTATACTTTAGGAGAAATGCTTGTTTTGTGGTCCCTGAGTTACAGGCATATTAATATGCAGTGATAATTTTGTTCCACAGAACTCTTCTTTATATTGGTAATCCTTTATAATAGTGCCGTTCTTAAAGTTTATAACACAAGGTCCTAAAATAGGAATAAACTCACTCATTTCACATAATCCAAGTAAGGATGCATGGAACACTGTTGATGTAAAAGAAGTTTTGTGTTAATTTGGCACTGAGAAGTGAAGTTAGTTACTCTGGTCCCAGGAGCAAAAGTCAGTAATTCTTTAAAAAGCAGGACTTGGCTAGAAGCAGTTCAGGTTTTTGAAATTTGAATCTCTTCAGTCGTAGTTGCCAGCTACTTGGTTTACCTAAAGCACTGTTTCTCCACGTGTGGCCTGTGAACTCGAGCTGCTCTAAGTCCAGGAGTGGAGAGTAAGATTTTAGAAACTTTTATAGTAATTTAAAAGAGTATTTTTATGTCTGTGGAATCAAATAATAGAAGAATTTGAGCTTGTGTTTTATGTTTTTTTCCTTCCATTTTCTAGTAATTCATCTTTATTTACAAATATAAGATTATTGCATTACTTTGGGTATGTAATGGTACAATATTATTGTATTTTATAAAAGTATCAGCCTATGACAGATTTAAAGATCTGGTGCTTCACCACATTTTACTATAGAAATGTATACCACATTTACATTTTCTGTAGAACTTACTAATTAGAAAGTAGGGCAATCAGAATTAATAAAGCCTGGTAATGTTTTGAAAGAAATTACATTGTAGTGTTTTATCTTTGCTACTTCAAGTGCATAGAATAAATACAACTGCTAACAAAGTATTGTTAACAAGGGATTGTGCAAGAGTAGCATACATTTGCAGTTAATAACCTCTTTTATGCCCCATAGCAATATTTAATTAGATTTAATTCAACTTAGATATAATTCTTCAACCACTAAGTTTAAATATGTATATATACATATGTATATGATTTCTTAATGAAGTATGTTAGATATTTCTCTGCCTGTCTAAATGAAAAAATCATATAAAATATAGTTCAACATTTTCTTGATACCTTAGGATCATTGTTATGAGGAACATATACTTCTATTCTTTGGTATAACCTATAATACTCCTTTGCTTCTTAGTTGATTTTTCCTCTCTGCTCTCTCTTTTCTCGAAAGATAGTATTGCATAGCTGTTAATAGCTTGGCTGTTGATGTCAGGCAGATGGGAGTTTGACTCTCAGCTCTGCCACTAGTATCTCCATGGTTCTTTATAAATGTGAGTCTTGGTCTCCTAGTCTGTAAGTGGGAACAATAATAGTCTCTCCCTAATGGGATTGTGAGAATTAAGTAACATCCTGCATAGAAAACACTTGGAATAGTGCCTGGTTCTTAGCTAACATTTGTTGAACATTCAAAAATTTTTTTCTTTTTTCAATTGATGTATAACTTACATACAATTAAAAAACCCACTAATCTTATGTGTTATATACCACAGTAAACTTTAACATGTGTATATGTTAACTACCATCCAGTTCAAGATAGAGAACATTGCCAACACCCCTGAAGATTCCCTTCAGCCCGTTTTCAGTTAGTAACCACTGCTATGACTTCCACCACCGCCAATTAGTTTCTCTTACCTCTGAACTTCATGTACATGGAATCATACAGCATGATTTTTGGAGAGCTGGGATCCAGCTTTTTAAATACGTACTGTCTGTAAGATTTATCCATGTGGGGGTAGTTATCAGTAGTTCATCCTATTTTTATTGCTTATGTAGCATTCCATTTTGTGAATATACCACATTTTATTTGCCCGTTGTCCTTTTGATGGGTACTTGGGTTATTTGCTGTTTTTGACTATTAAAAATACAAGCTGCTGTGAAAGCTGTTATTTTTTGAACTAGTATTTGACCTTGTTTTGCACTTTCTAAACAACACTCCTTCATTGATTCTCATCTGCTTTTCCAAGTTTGTTAAATGATCTTAGTGACAAGGTTTCCCCGCCTCAACACACACACACAAAGGCTTAACATCCAGATTTGTAGGTGCTCTTCTGCCGTTTTAAAGAAACCTGGTTGCTTGGGTGGGGAGAAGTAGGTGTTGGGTGTGTTTAAAGTTGGAGGTGTTAATGAAATAAACGTTGAGTGAATAAAGAACGATTCTCCTTCTATTCGATAGTGCAGTGTATGAGGCAGAACTTTAGCTGCGCCCAGATCAAATCTTGTTGAATCATCATTTTCTAGAGCTGGGCTTCACCCACAGTAGATTCTCAAAAAATGTGCATTGAATAAATGCATCAATTTGTCCCAAAGATGGCATCAACATGCCTTGAACTTGATTGGAAAAGAATTATCAGTAGGTTAAGAAGATGATAAAAGTAGCCAGCTGAGGAGACATGGTTAAAAACATTGGGATGCAGTTTGAGAGTTCACGCTATTTCCACTGGTAATTTTGATTTTGGTTTAGCCTAAACTACTTAATTTTCCTACCTTAGCTTCTCTATCTAAAAACATTCCTTATTCCATGAAAAACAAGTATTTAAGTTGATTCTATAGGTCAGTGGTTCTTAAACTTGAGTTTAACATATATCACGATCACTTGGAGGACCTATTAGAAAAAAGATTACCTGGCACCACCCCTAGAACTTCTGACTCAGTAGGTCTGGGGTGGAGCCTGAGAACTGACATTTCTAATGAGTTCAGGTGATACTAATACTGCTTGCCCAGGGACCACACTCTGAGAACTACTGCTACAGGTCATTTTGGTTTTCTTCTTCCTGAATATTGCCAGTAAGCTCTTAGTAAAATCATTTTCTAGGTTGGATAGAGAGAGACCTTTTCTAGCTTTTGGAAGAGCAAGTTTTAAATTCAGAAGCTTACAGAACAAAACTGGCTTGTTTTAAGACCTTATGTCCATTGAGGGTATTATGCTAAGCGAAATAAGTCAGAGGGAGAAGGTCAAATACCGTATGATCTCACTCATAAGTGGAAGATAAAAACAACAACAAACAAACATATAGAGACAGAGATTGGATTGGTGGTTACCAGAGGGGAGGAGGGGAAGGAGGAGGGCAAAAGAGATGATTAGGCACATGTGTGTGGTGATGGATTGTAATTACTATTTGGGTGGTGAACATGATGTAATCAGTGCAGAAATAGAAGTATAAGGATGTATGCCTGAAATTTATACAATGTTACAAACCAATGTTACTGCAATAAATAAATTAAAATGGGGATTATAGGAAAAAAAAAAAGACCTTATGTCCAGTCCTCATGAAGGCCAACATAAAACATACCTCAGTAATTCTAACCAATTCAGACAGTAACGTCTAAAACAGTTTTAGCTAAAAAGGATGCCCTTTTCCTCGTTGTTAGTTTAATGGTGCTATAATAATCTAAAATCTTAAGCTTCGTGCAAGAATTAAAATTTTAAAATGTGCAGTTTAATTTTTCAGGTAAGTAATATTAGTGTGAAAACCCAGCCAAGGCGGGCAATTAACAATGGCTCCAGGAGCGACCTGGTCCACTGAGGACCAGCTAAGTGCCATGCAGATAGGCACACGTGTTTGGCGTGCCTAGAATGATCACAGTTAAATTAATTTTTATCTTGCCTAATTCCAAAAGTTTTTCACTTTGGCTCAAGGTAGCCAAAAAGGAGAAGTGGGTGGGAGTGGAGGAGTGCCTTATATTTCTGGACAAAATCTTAACTATACTAAGAGATTTGTGGTAAGATTACTGATAGATGTTGATGCAGTGTTGGGCAGAGTTGTCTGTAAACTGTTTGAAGCACTTCCTCAAGAGTAGAGTGACTCCACTGAAGGCAGTTGACTCCTTGGTTCCTGTGGTTTTTATTGGCACTATTGTCCTTCAAGAATCAGAAGGAAATTATCCCATTAAATTGTTAAAAATTGTGCAAGCATAATGAAAGGAGCAAAATGCCTTTTAGCTTGCACCTAGTATTTCAGATATTACCTTGATTTCCCAATATTTTTTTCCTACTTGCATGGAGATAATACTACATACTTATACACACACACACACACACTTATACACACACACACACACGTATATACAGAATCAAAAAACAGTCTTCCCTGTTAACAGTTTGATATAGTATTTTCCAGTTTGAAGAAAAAATTCAAATGCCTTGCCCTTTGTGGGGGAGGGGTACATATTATTGATTAGTTGAACTCAAGAAGGAACTTTTGAGGCTCAGCAATCAAAGGCAAAAATGATCTAGAGAGATCATTTGAAATTTAGGAAGTGGTCATTATTGATCCCTGTCTATAAAACAGGATCTGCTGGAGGAGGTAGAAACTGCAGTGACATTTATAATGCTGACTTATCCTTTTTTAAAAACCAAAATGCAAGAATTTTTTTTTTTGAGTCTGGTCCTGAGTCCATGTTTGATTTTAAATTCTAGTCAGTTTTGTCTTGAGGTAAGTCTACTGCAGAAAATTAAATTAACCAAGCTGTGTATTTCACTACTTTTGGAATTTCAGAGATGCTGCCTATGGGAGTTGCAGTTTCTACATTACGCTTCTCGACTGTTTTTATGCAGTAAAGAAGGTAAGTGACTCGTGGGGTGCGCCCAGTGTTATGTTGGGGAACTAAAGTACAGTCCAAGGAAGATGAGGCCTTTTCCCCAAAGATCTTCCAAGATGTGTATGATGTCAGAGGTGTCCCATTTCCTCTTTAACATTAGAATGACACCAAACCAGAAAACAGTTTATTCTGAATCGGAGTGCTTCTCTGTAGGGGTTGGGGGAAAAGCCACTTGAACAACAGGGGACAGTAAGAGACAGTTACATAATTAGGTTCTAAATCCAGAATTGGTTTTGAGTGTGTTGTGATTTCAAAGAAAAACAAAAAGTAAATAGATTACTGGTTTCCAAGTTCTCTTTGATTTATGTATTTTATGGGTCTGATTCCCCTTAATCCTATTTACAGCGGACATTTCTATAACAGTAACTGTCCAACACTTCGTTTTTGTATCTTCAAGCATTCAATTTCTAGTGCAGCGTAAGAATTTGGATAGCCCATTAGTTTGTTACTAGGTTTTATGTAAAACGAAATAGGTCACTACTGCTTTGTCAAAGCTGTTTTAAAATACCTCCTGTGTTTTATAACCAGGGCTGCTTGCAGTCTTTGACTCCAGGAGACACCCTTCATGCCACGTCCTAGCTGAACAGGGTCCCCTGGCGTTAGGTGGTGCAGCAGACCCTGCTATAACATTCAGTCCTTCACGTTTATGTCTTGAATGTCAAGGTAGCACAAGAAACTAGAACTGTAAATGAGTAGCCCATGGGTCAAATAAGCTTTCAACAACATCTCAAGTTTTATGTGACTTGTATTTTCAGAGGCAAAAGGAACCCGGGTTTACTTTCTTGTATAATAAACATAGTGGCTTTCTGAGAATTTTGACAGAAGTTTTATGGATTAAAATGAGAGGACTAATTAGTATACAAATTCGGAGATTAATTAGTATACCCTTTTTTCATGTATCAGGCAACGATGTATGGAATTTAATGTTTTGGAGTTGAGTCCAGTGACTCTGTGTTGTGTGGAGCCACTTGAGGTGATGGCCACAGGCTCGGGCAGCCCAGCAGGCCTCAGTTTAGGTGGGTGATGGGCAGAGGAGGCCATCAGGAGGCAGACAGCCGTGTAAATGACCCCTTCCAGTTGCAATTACAGTCCCTTCCAGATGGACCCCAGGGAACGGCCAGTGTAGGCAGCATACTTATCCTGATCCTGGGGCTCCTTTCTCTCTACTCCCACCGCCTTTATTTATTTTATTTATTTTTGTGTGTGTGTGTGAGGAAGATCAGCCCTGAGCTAACATCCATGCCAATCCTCCTTTTTTTTTTTTTTTTTCTGCTGAGGAAGACTAGCCCTGAGCTAACATCTATTGCCAATCTTCCTCCTTTTTTTTTTTCCCCCCTTTTTCTCTCCAAAGCCCCAGTAGATAGCTGTATGTCATAGTTGCACATCCTTCTAGTTGTTGTATGTGGGACGCGGCCTCAGCATGGCCTGACAAGCGGTGCATCGGCGCGCGCCCGAGATCCGAACCCCGGGCCGCCAGTAGCGGAGCGCGTGCACTTAACCGCTAAGCCACAGGGCCAGCCCCCACCGCCTTTAAAAAAGAAGAAAAACTTTGAGGGCCTTGGAAAGGATGTACTATAACATTCTATAGCAGTTTCCCTAGTTATTTCTTGGCTTAGTTTTTTATCAGATACTATATCCACAGTCTAATTAGCTGAAACTGTAGGTCAAAGATGGCTTTTTCCATGCTATATTTAATTTTATTTGAGTCGATAGCTTCTGATTTGCAATTTAAACATTTTTTATTTGTGACTGACTTTGAATATTATTATATATATGAAACATTTATAAATAATTGTTTTAATTTTAGTGAGACTTGTAATGGGATCTTGTGAAATGCAAAGGAGAATAGAAATTGCCTGTAAACTACGTTTTGTTGTATCATTCTGTTAGGAACATCTCTAGTCCAAATATCAAGACACATATTGAGTATTTTGAATTCAAAGAAATAAAATTCATTGTAGACTTGGTCTTGGAATTAGAACTTAACTGTATTTTATAAAGTGAGGGCTTTTTGTTTGGTACTGTAGCCTTCTTATTTTTCATTCGTATTTCAGAGTTTAAATTTTGAAAACTGGATTTACAGAGTCACCCGTTTTGAACTAAGAATACCTTGTTGATCAAGAATTCTTGCTTACATACACTCTGGCTCAGTGACCAGTGAGCAGGGGGAACACTTCTTAGCGGCCTCCAGCTTGCCCTTTTCTCAGAGAATAGATACTCTTTCACTTAGCGTGCTCTGCCCACTGCGACTCAGGGTGAGGCTACAGAATAGAACAGAAATTTTATGTATTTTTTTCTTATTGAAAGAAGAATTTTTTTTCCTCAAAATTTTCAATTTTAGTGTTGATCTCTGGGCTGTCTTTAGTATAGGGAACGTTAATCTCTTAATTCAAGACTGTTCAGAAGAATTTGAAAGTGAAGGTGTTTATGAAGCGTGTGGGATTTGTTTGGGATAAACTAACCTATGGCTTCTTTCCTCTTCGTTATTGATTTAGGGACCCCTTGGTTGTGCCTTATGTTTGAAGCCTGAGTAGTAGTGACCTAGTAAGTTAGTAGGATTACTTTAAAGGCTTGATTATTTAGCTCTGCATGGATAGGATGATTGACGAAGGAGAAGAAAAAATCAAATTGTATTAAGAGAAGTATTGTGATAACTAATTTTCCAGATAAAGAAAGCGTTTAAAAGACATAGCCCATCTCCTTTAAAAACTATTCAATGGAACGTAATCTAAGTATAATAATGCTTTTCTGGCCTGCCTTCTGATATTTATTATTAGGAAGTTGGATTGGAAATTGTTTCCTTATTTGCATCTTTGTTCTTAAAAGCTTTCCTTTGGATTTTAGGCAATGCATTATGGCTTCCTTAATTTCAACTCATTTAACCTTGATGAATATGAACATTATGAAGTAAGTTTTCAAGGATATTGCTTTTAACTTTTATTCATGTTTTACTTGCAGAAGTAATACTCTTGCTTTTTAAAAAATTGAACAATTTAGATATATAGAGAGTAAAAAAAAGTGAAGCCTTTATCCTCTTACCCCCATTTCTGCAGTCCCAGTTCTTAGTGGTGATTTCTGCATTCAGTGCATCCTCCCAAAGTGTGCTCCTGGGCATTTTTCTTTAACATGAAGTTTAAATTTTTTTAGTATTGACGACTTTCACATAGTGGCTAATGAGATAATGTTTGTAAAACCCTTAGCATAGGATCTGATGAGATGAATAGTCATTATACATTTAGTTACCTCTAGAAAATATCTGTTTTTATTATAACCTTTTGTTTGTATGAAGTCAGGACACTTCTGGTTGCAGATTACAAGAAGTAAACACAAATGGCTTAAATAAGAAAGGGAAAATTTATTGACTTACATAAATAAAAAATCCAGGAGCAGGTGTGACTTCACATGTGACCAGATTCAGGTGCTCAAACACTTAGCAGAAATTGGGCTGAAACTCGCTTTGTTCCCAGGCCCTCCCTCCTCAGTAGTAATGAAGATGGCCACCAGCAGCTTTGATTTTGTAGCCCCAGCAGAAGACCCACGAATTCCTCTCGTTGGCCTGGCTTATTAGGTCATGTGGCCCTGAACCAGGCTGTGTTAGGGGTGGGTGCGTTTAGAATACTCTGGCCATCCCAGGAGCTGGAGTGCTGGGATCAGCCCTATCAAACCATACAGATAAAAAAAAAGGAGGAGAGTCCAGGCAGCCAAAACCGCAGGTGTCCTCTACAGTTTTTAATCTGGTATATATATTTTTTAAAGAGTAAGTAATTTGCTTCACCATTCCACCTTCCAAACAGTTAAGATAATGAGTAAGATGCTATGCTAAAGGTCTTTTTCGGCCAAGAATACTTGTGGAATCTAGTCTTTTTATCCTATTAAGTTATCTTGAGCAGACATTCTCAAGAAGAATGGAGTAGTGATTCCACAGACAGCACTTTATGCGGCAGTATCTTGAATCCTCAGATAACTGTTCTTTCACAATCAATTTCTTCAAGTAACTTATTTTAAACTCGTAGATATAACTGAACCATTTCATTGATGAGTTGGGTTAGCAGTTACAATCAATCATTAGTGTAACGTGTCAAAGATGTAAAAGCATGTTGTGTGATTCAGTAGGGCCAACCCTATCTTTCCTTCTCTGTAATAGCAATACGTTTCTAAAGTACAACATATATTTAATCACCACGTTAAACTACTGAATATAACTTAATTATTAACAACATTTTTTTTGTGCTTATCCTTATAAAATGAAACATTTAAATTAAAATCTACTTTCCCTTTTTGGGTAAGCAAAACGACTAGAAACTACAGTTGGTGTTCCTTCAGTGTAGAACAGTGAAAACGACTAGAAACTACAGTTGGTGTTCCTTCAGTGTAGAACAGTGATGCCTTTTTGTGTGACTAAGGAGTGATTAGGTGCTAAGTAGCTTCCCTCTCACTAATGCAGAAATTGTGGCACTGGGGGGAGTAGCAGGGTCACCCACAAATGGGTTTACTTTCAGTGAAACTGCACTGAGATGCAGGGAACTGTTTAGGTAGCTACAGACCATGAGTAGCTCACAGACTGGTTTTGTTTGGTCTCTGCAGTGTATTTAGAAATTTTTGGATTAGTGTCTTTCATTGGTTCTATTATGCCCATTTTTTCCTGTTTTAACTTTTCTGACTTCAGGATGCATCTTATCAACTATAATGCCTGCGATTCATTGAAATCTAATCATGAGTTTCTCATTAAAAACTCCAGATTTCTGGCTTCACTTCAAAATTGGAACATCTGGCAACACTTGTCCTGATTCCTGCTTAGATCTTTACCATGGAACATTATTTCACCAGTTCCCCTCGCTGATAATTTAAAGTCAAGTAAATTGGTTATGTGTTACCAACGTGGCCTGTAGATACATGTTCAAGCAATTCTCAGTTTATTTCTTACTTGTTCTTAGGTACACATATACAAACCCCAATTGTGAAGCTAATTAATCTTGTTTTTATCACTAATTCTCTCTTTGTCCACTATCAAGTATATCCTACTTCCTGATTAAGTCTTTGTCTATCCATTTCTATTGTTAAATTTGAACTATATTTATCTTCTGGTAGTTGTTATGGTAACTCAATCCGAAGGACTTAATAGCAGGAAGTAAAGTGTTTTAAATTTCAGTTTATAGTCGTGTTTTTTCCTGTGATCTCAGTATACTTATAATTTCGAATTCCCTGGTGGGTTTTGTGAACTTTTTCATTGACCCTCTCATTAAGTGCAAAATGATGGAAAAGTGTCTCTCTGCAAATAAAAAATAAATATTGAGAAGCCAGGAACCTAAATAAATAGTTTTTTCTCGTTTTTTCGAGGAGTCAAGATTGCACATATTGGAAGCCAGTTAGCCATGCGGAAAAACAGGAAAGTTTCCAGATTCCTTATAATGGAAAAGTTTGCTTTCTTATTAATTAGCAGCAACTATATGAGAATTTACTCAGATAAAATACCAAAGTACTTAGGTATATTTCGGATAGCAGCAGTCAGCTCTAGTTTCCAAAGACTAACTACCCTAGCAAAGAAGCTCTGTTAAAAGAAAGTGATTAGGACTAGGAGAAGTTAACTAGCTATTCCCTGGGAATACTCATAGCTGGCTAAATTTTAGTTTTCTGTCTCATGGTCATTTATAAACAGTTTTTGTGCCAAAGCAAGTGTATTTGAAGTCCTTCAGACACCAGTATTCAGAAGGGGTGTGGAGAGGAGATTAAGTTTCAAAATGAATTGTGCTGGTCTTCCCTTTGCAGAAAGCAGAAAATGGAGATTTAAATTGGATAATACCAGACCGATTTCTTGCCTTCTGTGGACCTCATTCAAGAACCAGACTTGAAAGTGGTATGCAAAAATATGGGACCAGTATAGTTTTGTTATTAAAAGTATCCATTCTGTATTTTCTTTTGAAAGAGGCCAAAGAGTTAAACTAAGCTTGACTGTCTATACTTGGTCATTTTAGTACATCATTCTGCCTGGATTTTAACTTTTTTAATTTATTTTTTACAGTTATAATCAAATTGGTATTCATACTGTTTCCAGGTGAATTACAGGTGAAATTGTTATCCATTGTTTTCTTTCTGCATTTCACAACATCTGGTGAATTTCTTTATGTAGGTTACCACCAACATTCTCCTGAGGCTTATATTCCATATTTTAAGAATCACAACGTTACTACCATTGTTCGTCTGAATAAAAGGATGTATGACGCCAAACGCTTTACGAATGCTGGTTTCGATCACTATGATCTTTTCTTTGCGGATGGCAGCACCCCTACTGATGCCATTGTCAAAGAATTTCTGGATATTTGTGAAAATGCTGAGGGTGCCATTGCAGTACATTGTAAAGGTATGTTTCTAGGGTTAGCTAAAGAATGATTGACATGTATGTATATATGTGTAGAAACGTACTATACTCATTTAGATGATATGCCAGAGCACATGAAGCTGCCTTTGTTTTTAAAAGAATGCCTTGTTTTTCTTCTGTAAGTTGCTTTTTTCTTAAAACCACTTCATTGAGGTATGATTGACATTAAAAAGCTGCACCTTTATAGGTACCTTTATTCTTTATAGAATGCTTTTAAAAACCCTAATTTCATATGAAGTCTAGTAAATTAAATTGTATTCATAGTTAACTCTACAAAGCCTTATCACGTTGAAATGCATTCATTTATTCATCAAATATCTATTCAGTGCCTACTGTTTGGAAGGTTCTAGGATATGTCAGTGAGCAGAGCAGACTCCAAGAGCTTGTCTTTGTGGAGTTTATATTCTAACAAGTTCCTGTTTTCAGCAGGTAGAACAGCGCCTGGCACTTAATAGTTATTGAATGAATGTGTAATAATACATTGTGTGAATGTACTAGGGATTTATTTAACTTTTCTCCTCTTGTTAGATAGTTGATTAAGAGGACAAAGAATGCAATAAACAAAAAATTAAAAAAAAAAAAAAAAGAGGACAAAGGAATATTTTTGTTAGGAAAAATTCAACACTGAAAGAGAGAAAAACAGAAAACCTGGGGAACAGCCAAAATATAATCTCCAGAGTTACCACATTGTAAGATTCAAATATCCGGTTTTCACCAAGAAATCACAAGACATACAAAGAGACAGGAAAGTATAGCTCATTCAGAGGAAAAAAAGCAATCCATAGAAACTGTCCCTGAGAACTCTCATACACTGCTGGTGGGAGTGCAAACTGGTGCAGCCACTATGGAAAACAGTATGGAGATTCCTCAAAAAATCAACGATAGAACTACCATATGATCCAGCTATTCCACTGTTGGGTATTTATCCAAAGAACTTGAAAACACCAATTTGCAAAGGTACATGCACCCCTGTGTTCATTGCAGCCTTATTCACGATAGCCAAGACTTGGAAGCAACCTAAGTGCCCATCAAGGGACGAATGGATAAAAAAGCTGTGGTATATATACACAATGGAATACTACTCAGCCATAAGAAACGATGAAATCCAGCCATTTGTGACAACATGGATGGACATTGAGGGCATGATGCGAAGTGAAATAAGTCAGAGGGAGAAGGTCAAATACCGTATGATTTCCTTCATTAAGTAGTAGATAATAACAACAATAAACAAACATATAGGGACAGAGATTGGATTGGTGGTTACCAGAGGGGAATGTGGGAGGGAGGAGGGTGAAAGGGATAATTTGGTACATGTGTGTGGTGATGGGTTGTAATTAGTATTTTGGTGGTGAACATGATATAATCTATGCAGAAATAGAAGTACAATGATGTACACCTGAAATTTTTACAATGTTATAAACCAATGTTACTGCAATAAACAAATAAAAAATGAAAAAAAAAAAGAAACTGTCCCTGAGCAAGACCAAATGGACTTACTAGACAAAGACATTAAAACAGCTGTCTTAAAGATACTCAAAGAGATAAAAGAAAATGTGGGCAAAGTCAAGAGAACAATGTATAAACAAAATGGAAATATCGTTAAGAGGTGGAAAACATAAAAAGGAACCAAAAAGAAATTCTGGAACTGAAATGTACAATAACTCGAAAAATTTACTGGTGAGATTCAGAAGCAGACATGAACAGGCAGAAGAAGGCATCAGTGAACTTGAAGCTAGGACAATTAAAATGATCAAGTCTGAAGAACAGAAAGAAAAAAGATTGAAAAGTGAACTGAGCCTAAGGGACCTCTGGGACACCATAAAGTGGACCAATGTATGGAATGTGGAAGTCCCAAAGGGAGAAGGGAGAGAAAGGAGCAGAGACAACGGAGCCATTGAAGAAATAATGGCTGAAAACTTCCCAAATTTGATGAAAGACGTGAATGTAAATATCAAAGAAGCTCGGCTAACTCCTAACAGGATAAACTCAGAGACCCACACAAAGATACTTTATAATCAGTCTACAGTCAGAGACAAAGAGAATCTTGAAAGCAACCAGAGAGAATCAACTTATCACATACAAGGGGTCCCAGTAAGATTAGCAGCAGATTTCTCTTCAGAAACCTTGGAGGCCAGAAGGCAGTGGGTTGATATATTCGAAGTGCTGAAGGAAAAAAACTGTCAACCACAAATTCTATATCTGGCAAAACTGTCCCACAAAAATGAGGGAGAGGGGCCAGCCCCATGGTGTAGTGGGTTTTTTTGTGTGTGTGTGTATGTGTGGTGAGGAAGATTCACCCTGAGCTAACATCTGTGCCAATCTTCCTCTACTCTGTATGTGGGATGCAACCACAGCATGGCTTGACAAGTGGTGTGTAGGTCCGCGCCCGGGATCCGAACCCACAAACCCCGGGCTGGCCCCGGCATAGTGGTTAAGTTCAGGGCGCTCCGCTTCGGCAGCCCGGGGTTCGTGGGTTCGGATCCCGGGCGCGGACCTACACACCACTTGTCAAGCCATGCTGTGGTTGCATCCCACATACAGAGTAGAGGAAGATTGGCACAGATGTTAGCTCAGGGTGAATCTTCCTCAGAAAAAAAAAAGAGGGAGAAATTAAGACATTCTCAGATAATTAAAAGCTGAGGAAGTTTGCTGCCAGTAGGCCTGCCGTGCAAGAAATGCTAAAGGTTGACTGGAAGGACACTAGACAGTCACTCGAAGCCATCTGAAGAAATAAAGATCTCTGGGAAAGTAAATACATGGACAGTTATAAAGGCTGATTCGGTTGTAAACTCTCCAATCAAAAGACAGAGATGGGAAGAATGGCTTAAAAAAATGATAGTCCAACTGTATGCTATCTAAAAGAGACTCGGTTCACATCCAAAGATGCAAATAGGTTGAAAGTGAGAGGATGAGGAAAGATATTTCATGTAAATAGTAACCAAAAGTGAACAGAGGTGATTAGACTAATATCAGAGAAAATAGACTTTAAATCAAAAAAGATTACAGGAAACGAAAAAGGACATTATATATTAAAAGTTTCAATACAGCAAGAAGATAGAACAATTATAAACATTTTACATGCTTAATAACAGACCTTCTAAATATGTGAAAGAAAAATAGACAGAATTGAAGGGAAAAATAAACAGTTGTACAATAATAGTTGAAATTTTAATATCCCATTTTTAGTAATGCATAGAACAACCAGACAGAAGATAAGAAAGGAAATAGAGAAATTGAAGAACACAATAAACCAATGAGATCTAGCAGACTTACAGAACACTCTGCCCACCAACAACAGAACCCACAAGTTCACATGGGCATGGTAGTAATGGTTGCACAGCAGTGTGTTTGCTGATGCCACTGAACTGTACACTTAAAAGTGGTTAAAACAACCTCCAGAAACCAACCTTAAAGAAACATGGGTCTTTGAATTACCTGACAAAAAAATTTAAGACAGCTGTCTTAAAAATGCTCAATGATGCTAAAATGAAACATAGAGAAGTAAATGGAATCAGGAAAATGATGCATGCAGAAAAATGGTTAAAATGGTAAATTTTATGTATATTTTACCGTAATTAAAAAAATAATTAAAACAAAATCCAACATTGGTTATTTCATCTTTTTTTTTATTATAATAAGCAATTGAGGTTATTCTCAGCTAAGGTGCTCATTCAGAGGGATTTTGCCCCCCAGGGGACATTTGTCAATGTCTGAAGACTTATTTTGGTTTTCACAACTTGGGGGGAGGGTTACTACTGGCATAGTGGGTGGAGGCCAGAGATGCTCCTAAACATCCTAAAATGCACGGACAGCCCCCACAACAAAGAATTATCCAGCCCCAAATGTCAGTAGTGCTGAGGTTGAGAAACCCTGAAGTTGACTGATGCCCAGTTAAAAACCTGAAGAGAATTTTATCTGATTAGATCTTTGTTTGGAGAAGAAAACTGTTGACTGTGAAGATTGGATTATCAAGTGAAAAGTGAGATTCATTAGGAGATGTATTAATTTGCTCAGGGTACCATAACAGAATACCGCAGACTGTGTGACTTTAATAACAGAAATTTATTTTCTCACAGTTTTGGAGGCTAGAAATCCAAGAGCAGGGTGCCCATCGGGTTGGTTTGTGGTGAGGCCTCTCTTCCTCACTTTATGCACTCACTCCTGGTGTTTCTTTCTCTGCTTATAAGGAATGGTACCGGTCCTCTTGGATTAGGTGCCCCCTCCTCCCGTGACCTTATTTAACCTTAATTACCTCCATTAAGGACCTTTTCCCAGAGACAGTTACATTGGGAGTTAGGACTTCAACATATGGATTTTGGGGGGGACACAATTCAGTCCATAATATTCTCCTCTCTGGCCGCCCAGTGTTCACGTCCTCACTTATAAGATACATTCACCCCATCCCAACAGCCCCAAAACACTTAACCCATTCTGGCATCAATTCCAAGTCCAAAGTCTCATCTAAATATCATCTAAATCAGATACAGTGACACTCCAGGTACAGTTCATCCTGAGGCAGAATTCCTCCCCAGCTGTTAACTCTGTGAAGCAGACAAGTTATTTGCTTCTAAAATACAATAGTGGGACAGGCATAGGATAGACATTCCCATTCCAAATGGGATAAATCAGCAAGAAGAAAGGGTGACAGGTCTCAAGCAAGTCCAGAACCTAGCAAGGCAAGTGCCATTCGATTTTAAGTAGCCCTGCCCCTGAGGTCCACTGATACCATGGAAGTGGCCTACCCCACGAAACCTAGGAGTAGATAGCCTTGTCCCCTGGGCCCGTGATGGCAGTGGCAGCCCTGCTGACCTCCACATCACCCTCGGCGTCATGCTTCCCTTCTCTTGAAGGATGAGGCATGTTTGCAGCCAGATGCCTCTGATGTTCAGTCCTATAGAATCCCAGAAATCTGAAAGCCTGCCTTTATGTCATCCTGTGTCTGTCCCTTTTAGTCCAAATTGTCAGTGTGTCTGCTGGTATAATCCTGTCACTATTGCTGGCTTCTGCTGAGAGGGCGAATTAAATTCAGGGCTAATCTCTTTGTGGAGTTGATTGACCATACCCTTGGTGTTTTCTCCAGAACATGCTTTCTCACTTTTTGTAATATAAATAGGCCAATATGCAACATGTTTAGTTTCCGGTTCCATTTTGTTTAACAATCCTTTCTTGAATTCATCTCTCTCCTCTCGCACTTCACTATAATAAGTAAGGAGAAACCAGGCTGCGTCTTCAACACTTCGCTTACAGATCTCCTTTGCTAAATATCGAGGGTCATCAGTCACCAGTTCTACTTTCCAAAAAGCACTGAAACACAGTTCGGCCTGGCTTTTTGCCACTTTCTAACAACAAAGATTGCCTTTCTTTCAGTTTCCAGCCTTTACAATTCCGATTCCAAAGCCACTCCCACATTTTTACATATTGTTACAGTAGCATGCCACTTTATGGTACTAAAATCTGTATCAGTGAGAGTTTTCCAGAGAAACAACCAGAACCAGGATATGCATATATATAGAAAAGATTTATTATAAGGAATTGGCTCGCACAAATATGGAGGCTGGCAAGTACAAAATCTGCAGTGGGCTGGCAGGCTGGAGACCCAGGAGAGCCCATGGTGCAGTCAAAGTTCAAAGGCAGTCTGCTGGAGAATTCCTTCTAGTTTGAGGAGGCCAGTCTTTTCGTTCTGTTCAGACTTCAACTGATTGGATGAGGCCGACCCACATTATGTAGAGCAATCTGCATGCTCAAAGTCCACCAGTCTCATCCAAATAGACCTGCCATGTTGATACACAAAATTAACCATCACAGGAGGTAATGCTAGTAGTCTAGATGAGAGTAAAGGAGGACAGTAGGAATCGAGTGAGAAAATAAATCCATGTGAAAATAGGTATAAAAACAGAGTAGAAAAAACTGTTGGATGAGGGAGAAAGTACAAGATTTTAAGCTTGTGTTTTTGGTACCATTAACAGAAAACCCCGAGTAGAGTACACTGCACTTACTGAGAAGCATGGCTTAGAAAGTGATTTTCAATCTTGGCTATACATAGAATCAGCTGGGGAATTTTAGAAATCTCTGTCCAGGCTGCATCGCATACCAATTAAATCAGAATTCTGGAGGTAAGACCCAGCCAGTATTTTTCAAAACTCTTCAGGTGTTTGCAGTGTGCGTCCAAACTTGAGAAGCACTGTCGAGGGAAGCAGAATCATGGGAAGCCTTTTAAGAAAATTTTACCTCCCCAACAAAATTTTTGAGTACATGAGACCGATCTCATTGCTTTGTTTCTTTTCCTAGCTGGCCTTGGACGGACGGGCACCCTGATAGCCTGCTACATCATGAAGCATTATAGGATGACAGCAGCTGAGACCATTGCTTGGGTCAGAATCTGTAGACCTGGCTCAGTGATTGGGCCTCAGCAACAATTTCTGGTGATGTACGTTAACAGAGAGCTTTTGTAATTTCTCAGGGAACACATGGGTCTGGAAAATGATGGGAAGTAGAATTTTTCTTAGTCTCCACTAACAATGGATAGTTTAATTAGAGAAAGTTGTTTTCATGGATTTTTCTGGAAAGCTGTATTTTGATCTTGTCATTTAAATGCTCTAGGAAACAGACAAGCCTCTGGTTGGAAGGTGACTATTTTCGTCAAAAGTTAAGGGGTCAGGAGAGTGGAAAACACAGGGCAGCTGTCTCAAAACTCCTTGTGGCTGTTGATGACATTTCCATCAGTGGGGTGGAGAATCAAGACAAGCAAGACCCTGAACTGGTAATCGAACCGTCCCCATCACGCTGTTGTCATTGCTTTAAATGCTGCTGAGAGCCTTTTATGGCATGGAGAAAATTATAGATAAAAATAATAAAGCACATTTTGAGGGATTATTGTCACACATTTTTTTTTATAATTCTAGCCCTCTCTAGGAACTTTTTACTCAAAATAGTTAGAACAAGGTTATGTGTCCATAAAACTAAAGTTTTTTTTACTTACTAGGCCCTGGTGGAAAAAAGACATGTGAAGTAAGCTCATTAGATGGACCTAGTTACTCTCCTCCTCCTCCACTTTTTCCCATTTTGTGACAGCTGGTTTAGGGAGCCAGTCATTCTCAGATGGAGAACTTGAAAGAACCCAGAGTTCTTTAGGGGAGAGTAGTACTAGATAAGTGGTGGTAAGTAGATTGTGAAATTTACAAAAGAATGTTTTCGTTATTGAAAACCCATTATGCCTCTTCACTGTGGATATGTTTCATAACACAAGTGCTATTTGGGTTCTGTGTCTGTGAAAGTCACCTTTTGGTTTATCTTGAAATGTGACCTGTAGCTTTATTTTGAAAGCAGCAAAATATTTTAGAGTTAAGCAGAAAGTTGAAGCGTATTATGTGTCTACATGTGTATATGGATAAATGTAGCTGCTATGCTTTAGTGCATTAATAAGTGCATCTTAAATAACTAGCTCAGTGTTTTCTTACTTATACAGTACAGTGATGATGACGAAATCAACGGAGTGACACAAGGTGATAGACTTCGGGCCTTGAAAAGCAGAAGACAATCAAAAACAAACGCTATTCCCCTCACGTGAGTCTGGTTTCCTTTGTGTGGTTGATGTTGTTTAATACGTGTATTAGGTGCTTCATGAGCATTTTTTCCTGTGTATTCTTCTCCATAGTTGCATGCCCATTATACAGCTTTGAAATGATTATCTACGTTATTTAAAATCTAGCTTCGTTGCCTGCGAAGCTCTTGGCTATCCTTCGTTCATCTCCGTCTTCTCTTGTAACCTCGCTGGCCTGTGTAGATAAGAAAGCAACATTAGGATTGCTTTTTGTCCATGGATAATCACCATGTGACATCCTCGAGACAATGACAGCAGATGTAAACCGCAGAATAACAGATTGGTCCATAGTTATTAAAATTGTAAATTTCTTTAAATTCACTACCATGTTTATAGATAATTTGTTTTGATATGGTAGAATTTTGTCAGTGGTGATATGTTGGCTTAATGGCATTGTATTATTTCAGGGCAACAACGAACTAGATTAAACTATATTTTTGTATTAGTTTTTTGTTTAATTATTTTCAAGTTACAGAAGAAGGTTTAGCCTGGGGATGGGAAGTTTAATCGTTATTGTGTGAGTGTATGTCCACTTCTGCTTGGTCATGATACGTGTTAGTTTGGATTCAATCTTATGGAACAACCAGGATTGTTGGAAAATACGTATAATCAAAAAACTTGGCTATTGTACTTTTTTCCTAGGGTATTCTTTAGTAAATGCTCCCATCTATGCCATTGGATTCCTTCCTCCAAGTAACCTATCTTTTTTTGTGGGACACCAAGTTTCCAGCTTTTTTTAGGGGTGAGGTTGATGGAGATGGTCATTCTATTCAGTAGACATTGTGTAATAAGTAAGAAAGTAATAACATAATAAATATTCATGGCTGAGAAGAACAGGCCTTTTTTTTAATTAAAAGTAGTTCTTCGCTGGTATCTCCTCATAATCTTAAGTTCTGAAGTAGAATTACACATGAGGCTTGTGTCTTCATGGGCCACTGCCGTAAGAGATTCTTAAAAGACCCGAGGAAAGGAATGGAGTTTTCCAATACAAAGTGCCATGTAAATGAAAGCATCAATATGGGTTGTAGGCGTTAATTAAACTTTGTCTTTGCAGCTTAGTGGTACATCAATCAGATGTTTTAAGAATGGTGCATTTTATATAATTTATTTGACTCCAAATGCCATTTTGTTTTTAATTTCATTGAAGGTTTTCATCTAAAGCCTTAATGGTTCTTTTTATTTAGAAATATTATAGTTCCTCTGGATAATCACTCTGAAGCCGATTTTAGACATGATGGAGGGAACAGGTGGAGCCCTAGAGCAGTGCCTCTCCCACCTCAGTGTGCAGTTGAGTCTCCTGAGGAGCTGGCCACGATGCAGGTTGTGCTCAGTGGACCTGGAGTACGTCTGCGGGTCTGCGTTTCTGGCAAGCTTCCAGGGTTGCAGATGCTGCTGGTCCAGGGACCACATTTAAATTGCAAGCCCTAGAAAATGGGTGGTTCTGTGGGTTGCTTTTAGTTGTGCCCAGGTTTTTTGTTTTGTTTTTAAGAATCTGCAGCATATCGGTTTATTTCTCAATAGCTTGTTGCCTTCTGTTCAAAAGTCAAGTTTGGAGTCAGGGGATGGGAATTCTGCTTAGTCAAAAGTTCTTGTTAAATAAGGCTTATAGGAAATTTCCTTTAGTTCCTCTGAGTTTGCTACCTTGTAAATATGTTTTCTAGAGAGTTCAAATCAGTTGATGCTCTTTTCTAGAAAAATTGAGACTATAAAAGTCTGTTTCATAGCTGATAGGTTTGTGGTAATATGAAAGAACATCTAATGAAGACTAAAATTCTAAATATTGTTGGAAACCTGAAGAGGACGCTAGATGCTGTTACGTTCACCTTGGTGTGTGAGGTCCCCTGGAGTGGAAGTTGAATGTGGTCAGTGGTGGTTTAACAACAGTAAGTAGCAGAGACTGTGGAGAAAGGACCAGCCTCTGTGGTCGCGTTAGTTATCTAGTGACACCCTACCCTACCCCTAGAAGGAATCAAGGACCCGGGCCCTTTGCTCTGAAGCATTCTTGGCGTAAGTTAAAACCAAGTAAAATGGTAAAAGCTGAAAAAATAAAGAAGAGCTTGTTCAAGATCCTCTTTAATTGTAATTGTAATCCTAAAAACAGTAGAATGACACCAAAACTGTCCCCCTCCCATACACGCAATTAACAAACTTTTGGCCACACTTTTAAAAGAAAAAGAAAAATGCTGAAGTCCTTCTAAGCTCTTTTTTGTGTGTGTGTGAGGAAGATTAGCCCTGAGCTAACATCTGTTGCCAATTGTCCTCTTTTTGCTGAGGAATGTTGGCCCTGGGCTAACATCTGTGCCCATCCTCCTCTACTTTATGTGGGACGCCACCACAGCATGGCTTGATGAGCGGTGTGTTGGGTCCACACCTGGCATCCGAACCTGCGAACCCCAGGCCACCACAGTGGAGCACTCAAACTTAACCACCGCTATGCCACTGGGGCCCACCCCCTAAGCTCTTAATTATGTATGAAGACCCTGGAGCTTTTAGATTATTCACAGCAGATTCCCTCTTCCTCCTTCACAACATTTTGCTTCCCCCCACCTCTGCTTTTTCAAACCCTTTTTGCTGTTATAATCATCTCTTCTTTGCTCTTATTTGTAGCTCTTTGGGCCCTAGAAGAGGAGTCAATTGGAGATTTCCTTTTCCTCTCAAGTCCTTATTATTTTAGAAATACAAGTCCCCGAGAGAGAGAGTGAACCAACAGCAGCTTGGGTTGAGAAATCTAAATTGAATCTCTGCCTTGCAGTTTTGGCTTATCTGTCACTGCAGGCAGGGTATTCTGTTTCACTGTGGTACTTAGCCGAATGAAAATACTTGTAAGAAGGAAAGTTAGTGAAAAATATATACATACTGGTGATTCTTAACGGAAGTCATAGTATGTAAAATATCATTCCAATTATTGGTTTCTATTTTACAGTCAATATTTGGAGAGAATTAAAGTGGTTAGAAACTGTAAAATAGTATTTTCTCAGAGAGCCTGTCTGATCCTGACTACCATGAAGACAGTACATCATGTAGCACCATGACCTTGAAGTGACCTTCAAGGTGTGATAGCAAGTATATTATTATCTGTGCTAACATAGATTTGGTAGATTTTGTAACTTTATCCATGCTGCTTCTCTTTCTACATACTGATCATTTCCGCTGGGTTTGTTAGGGTTAAATGAAATGATACTTGAAGAGTGGTAGTGCATCCTACATAGGAATTAGGTAAAAATATAAATGTAATTATCCTTGAAAATCCCTTAAATCCCCCTTAACAGTACGGTGGAGATGCGTATGTGTTCCCTCATTGGAAAATAATTGTTATCCCGTGAGCTTTACTAGAGGAACAAATAAAAATCCATAATGCAGACACTTGTATATTCAGACCGTTCTGCCTTTAAGATAACTGTTAAATCAGTAACTGCAAATGAAAATTGGGATGGGTAGCAGGTTCTGTGTTCCTAGGCCATTTATTCCGTTCTCTTTAAATAGTTAGTCCCTGTAATCTTAACATATATTAGTAGGTTTGTTTTTTTGTGGGAGGAGTAAATGAGATGGTGCAGGTGTAGACTGTGAGGTGAGGTTAAATTTGATTTCATGTCCACCCTTTAGTGAAATCCCTTATCACCAGATAGGGTGCCTGGCACATAGTGCTCGATTATGATGACAAGGCGTGGTAAGCCAAATCAGTCATTTCTCACTTGATCAGCCCAATACTTTGCACAAAGCAAATGCTCAATAGAGCCTTTTGTAATTGGTCACAGGTGTGTCTGGGTGACCATCTGGGAGTGTGGTGGTTGGAAGGAGTTTACCACCCTTCCAGCTGTGAGGGAGTGTCCTTCCTCACTGCTAGAAGCTGGACCAGAGGATTAAGAAACACCAAGCTGAAAGCCAAGTTTGGTTACACGAGGAAGATGAGTGAGGAGAATGACTGAGGAAAAATATATACTATTAATACATTTGGGAAAGTTCCCATAATTTGTGTTGCCTGAGGTTGGGTGTGCTTCAGCAATCTTTGTTTTCAGAATATGCAGTTTTTCTAAACTCCTGGTGATGCCGTGTGCAACTCCACTGACATGAGATCAGTTCTGCTGTGCTGTGTTCATTTATGATCGTGCCTCTCATGAGATGGTTGTAATTTTCAGGACAGGGCTTTTTTTGATTGGTTGGTTTTGCCTCCTTTTTCTCGGTTTGGTTTAGTTTTCTGTGTCTGCATATCACGTGCTTTTTGAAGAATTTTGATCATATAACTTTGACTCTGATTTGTATATCATACAATTAAATTAATATGGGGCAGTTATCCAACTAGAGATTGGGTCTAATGTTTTGTTACCAAATATCAAATCAGTTTAAAACTGAAGCCAGCATTTTTTCCCCAACATAAAATTGCAAAACTCCATCCTTGTTTCCCCCACCTTTGCATCATAGGATGTCTGAAATTCACACGTGACTTTATTTATTACTTTATTTATTTTGTCTTGCCAATTTGAACACCTGTTCTTTCCCCTTCACCCTTTCCAGATGCTCCCTAGTGGTGCTGACCTCCGCACTGTGTAGTGTTGTGCTCTGGTGGATTGTTTGTGACTACATTCTCCCCATCCTGCTATTCGGTCTCGATGGTTTAAGAACACAGTAGCCATCAGAACCATTTGACAAATAGCTGCTGTGTAAGTGTCCCATTCCATTTCCCTACTAGTGCTCACCTCTGGTGTCTAGTGTGTTTCTCATGATGCGTATTTTTCTCACTATCAGCTCTCCTAGCTTTGTTAGTTTGCCTTTCTCAAAGGTTCTTTTTCTGAATCTTCAATTAATGGGATGGTGGTGGGGAGGGAGGTCTTGACTGTTCCTTTCATACAAGGGGTATTAAAAATAACACAACTTTGTTTTTAAGTTGTGCTTACTCTTAACAGATTTTTTGAAATAGCAATTTATAAAGACACTGAAATAGTTTCATTTCCCTATTGGAAATATTTAGTTTGGGATAATTGGGTGGTTTTCTTTCAATCAGTTGTTGATACAACTTTCATCTGTTTTCTAGAGTAAATATCTTTAGTATATTCTTTCTGGCCTAGCAAAAAGAATTTTCCCACTGGTTTTCTGCTGTTGGTGAAGATTGGGTTTTGTAGGAGTGAGGTCTGATGAGCGTCGCCCTGCTGCTTCGCCTCTGCTCCTGCCACTGTCCACAGTGCTCTCGCAGGCGGCTGCTTCCCTCATACGTCTTGTGTTAGAATCTGCTCCTCTGCCTCATTTCACTTCCTCCCCTTTAGGGTGTACAGTTGTGTACAGTCTTCAGAACCTGATGTTAAGTGAACGTAGGAAAGCAGAGAAGCCTGGAGCCCCTCGTTTATGTTTGTGTTTCTGCATGACAGTCACGTGCTCCTTACTCCCTCCCACTCTTCTCCGTTCCCAAAAGTTACCAAAATGCCTTCGTTAGGTACTAGAGGCGGAACTTGTATTCTTGATATCTTTCATCCTTGAATGAATACCTTAGCAGTGCAAAGACTTCTGCAGGAGAATGTGGCGAGAAGCTCACCCGGGGAACATTGTTTAGTTACAACCGCAGCACAGCTCTGAGACTGCGGTTTCCACCACCCTCTTCTATCTAGGCTGCGTTCTTTTCTCTGAAACTTTTTCTTTAGCTCATATGTCAAGAATTTCTTCTCTTGTTCCAACTTGGACTTGCAAGTTATAAAGGAATACAAGTTCATTCTAGGATCTGCTCCAAAGTAAAATTCCACTGCAGCCAACTCCAGTACTTTGTGATTTCACTGTGTCTTCAGATGGCTAGATAAGATTTAAAAATCTAGCAGACTCCATTCTTTTCAAAATTAGGGAAAAGCTGCTTAACATGTTCCTATTTGTGATATTTTCTTGAATATCTTACTAATACAAGCTTATCACATAGGCAGATATGCTATATTTCTGATATAGATTATCCTTTTAGGTGTTTTTTTCTTTACTTCTCTTAGTGAACTTAGATTTCCACGTATTCTGACTCAGGAGCATCACACACTGCATAGATTTATTTTTCTCCAGCTATTTTGAGTGTCAAAGGTGTGCTGAATAAGTGGAATTCTTAATGAGTAGAGTCCTTGCTAATAACACTTGGGCACTTCGTGATTGTACTGTTTTTCCCAGGGTAAGTTTAAAAATAGTCTCCATCAGGCTCTTTTCTTTTTAATATTCTATGTAAGATAGAACCTTGTTTGCTGTTATTACTAACACTTGCCACTACATTTCTAGACCCAAAGCAGAGTATTCAATTTAACCTACGTGATTAATTTGGAATTTATGGAAACAAAAGCTTTAAACAGTAACAGTGATGTAAACAGGTATAAAGATGCTTGTAGTTATCTTTTGAGGTGACTACTTACGGGCACCGTTGTTGACATTCACCTCTATTGGCTGGCATTGTGGCCTCACCTGGTAGGTTGTTACCTGGATGCTTGGAGAACTCGACTGGCTCAACACTTGAGATTGCGTATCAGACTCTTAGACGGTGGGAAAGGCACCTCTGGAGGCTGCGAGGCCTTGGGCCCATCATTTCGAAAGCTCGTTTGTGTCAGTGGTGGACAGCCAGTATAAATACTACGTAGTTGCATTGATGGATTCTTTACTTGGAATTGAGCGTTTATGTTGAAAGCATTTTATGGCTTGAGGGGTGAGAGACCTGGTTTTTCAATTTTTTCTTTGCTTAATACTTCAAGTTGCAGACATCAATCTGAGAATACTGGGGCTCAAAAGATACTGCAGAGAAGAAAGTGAACTCCAGTATGGGCAGGAGATAGAAAGGGGGACTAGGATTCTCGCAGAGAAAGATGGAAAGGAGAAAACACATGCTCTGAATGTTGCTGTGCAAACCCTGGTGATGGGCCTGGTTTGCAAGGTGGGAGGTGGTGGGTTCCCACATAGCCTGTGGCAGAGTGAATACTTCACCCATGTTTACCCGCATTTCCCACCTTATGGTGTGATGTATAGGATGTCACTGGAAATATCTACATGTAGTTGCTGGGTTTTTTCCCACTTTATTGATATATAACCTACAGGTGTAATAACTGCTCTGTTTTTAATGCAAATAACTGGTGACCTGAATCTTTACTGCTGTGATTAATGCATTCCAAATTTCTATCATGCTCTTTTTAAAATCCCACATAAATTATTAGCTATTAATATTATTATATTACTTCACTTGAATTATTTACACTAATTTTATAGAGAAATAAATACTTTTTAAAAGATGTTTTCTATTAGCCTAAAATTTGATTTAGCAGATATCTTGTTTTGAATAGTTAAACATTTCAGTAAGAGTTAATTTAAGAAATCAGGACTTAAATTTCCTGAGCAGGCAATACGTTGGCTCTTATTTTTTTTCTCATATTAATGACTTTACGGTGTGTTAGTTACTTTTGGCCATAGTGACCTCAAATTATTTGAAAAATATGTGTAGTATTTCAAAAAAAGCCAACAGGAATCTCGTTTTCTCCCTTTGTAAAAATGGAGGAAAAGACCAGGAGCCTCACCGAGCCAGTGAGAGGCTGTGTGACAACAGTGGCTGCACCACGCGCTGGGCCTGGGCCTCAGAAATATCAGTGAGGCATCTGTGGTTTGTTGTTGTTGTTGTTCTTTTGTTTTTCTTTATGAAAAATTATAGATTCAGATCCTTAACAGAGACTACTAAATATCTCCCCGTCACTGTATATCATCAGAGAATTTTAAAATGAGCCTCTGTTTTCAGGGGTAGTGTTCATACGCCAGGGCAGTCGGTGCCTTCCTTGATCATACAGCTGTGTCTGCATGTACTCGTTCTATTTTGTTAGAACATCCAACATTTAGGATGTTAAAACTTGATGAGAAATCTTGAATCAAGCACTGGCTCATTTACCCGGGATCAGTTTCCCTCCAGTGAGACTGCAGGCCTGTTTCCTGAGGCTTTCAGAAATGCTGCGTGGAGAAAGCCAAACAGCCCGGATAGGGGCCCATCCCGAGCCCTCCCCCTCTCTTCCGCAAGCTGCTTGACCCACTGGGCTCCAGCCTTCTGCTCTGGTACAGGACAACCCACGGTTTCCTTAGTGAGCAGAAGTTAGCATTTTACTCAGTGTTGAATATGCTGTGGTTTGGGTAATACTAAGATGATAAGAATTTACTAATCTTGACTACATGTTAAGGACCTGGCTTTGGTTATTAACTAACATGGTGGTAATGCAGGCATAGTAGATAGGACTGCTAGTTAGTTGTCATGGTTTCTTCTTCCTCTTATGAGCTGGATTCACGTAAGTTGTTACCGGCTGTCTCACCTTTATGTGTGTATATGAGAGGAGAAAGCTTTTGTAAGTCAGTATTTTCTCTTACAGACAAATAAAAAGTTGCGTATAAGTATATGTGAATGTGTGTATGCGGTTCAGTGTTTCAGTCATTATCTCTCGAAGAAAAGAATTGCATACAAAATCTTTTGATGTTTCTGCTGTTTTCCCTATGACAATACAATGAGGAATTAAAAACACCCTCTACTTGTGAGCAGAGTATTCTGTGGGGCTTTATCTCAGGGTGTTCTTTCTGAGTCATGAATTTGCCTCCTGGGCAGTCTACTCCCATACCGGTCAGTTCCTTGAGATTTTTAGAGTTTACTTAAATCAAGTTTCACAAAATTTAAACAGTTTCACTTTCTTGTTAGTAGTACTTCATGTTAATGGTATTTGGTGATTTACTGAGTAGTTATCATCCAGACAAAACTCAAAATTTTGCTTGAACATGTTTTTTAAATTTGAAGTGTTATATAAAATTAGTGTTGATGTGGGGTTTATTGCCCCTGCTTTCAGCTCTGAAGAGTGAATATTGTGTAGATATATGTATATTCATATTCTTTAGAATTTGGGGGTTTTAAATGATTTGTTTTCGTGACTAGAATTCAGAGAATCTACTTTTACTTTGGGGCACAAAGATTTGTTTTACTGATTGATTTCTTTGGTGTGAGAACTGCTTAAAATTCCAGGTCATTTATTTTCCAAAAGCAAAGTACTCTGGTTATCTTTGTGTAACCTTCACAGGGAAATGAGATGCTTCATTTCAAAAGACCTTGATATAAAAATGTTTCAGATTTTTTTGGCAAATGTGTTTATGGAAAATCCTATCAATTCTCAATAAAATAATTTGCACTGAAGTGCAAAAATGCCTTCCTCTGTCAAGTATTTGCAAATTGTTTCAGTGAATATAATCTTATTTTTTTCCAACTGTTTTCAGAGTAATTCTTCAGTCCAGTGTTCAGAGCTGTAAAACATCTGAACCTAACATTTCTGGCAGTGCAGGCATTACTAAAAGAACCACCAGATCTGCTTCAAGAAAAAGCAGTTTTAAAAGGTGAGAAAAGAATCCTACTCTTCTGAAAAGTTGCAAGCATTAGTTTTCCAGTTTCTCTCTGGAGATAGAACTGAAGACAGGAGAAAGCAGAGTCCCTGTGATCAGACATTAATCACATGCGTTTGACTTGGTCATCATCTAGAACATCTGGACCGTTTTAATGTAGGCTTTTGTTTGCTTTTGTTTTTCAGCGGTGATTCTCAGCAACGGAAATGTGGTCTCTGGGTCATGATATGGGAAAGTTGAGAATATTGTACTTATAAGTTCTTAAGGATTTCCAAAGCTCTCTGTCAGGACTTGCAGGAAATCTTTCCATCTGCATATCATATACAGCTTAATTGTTGGAGAATTAGCTCAAATAAGTGTGATGGTGGAAACATGAGAACTCGAGTGAATTTGGGGTCCTTCTTCACCTAGTGCCTGTCTTCTTGGCCACAGTCCACACCCACGAGGGCTAGTTCTTGCACTTTGAGCCAGCGTCGTTTACTTCCTTCATTAATACAGGATTTGACGAGAGAATGGACGTGTTCTGTGACCACCTCCATCACTCACTGTTGTCTTTGGATGTGTATAATGAAATGAAGGCAGACATTTCATTTTTAATGTATTCCAAAAACAGATCCCTTTTGAGGGAAGAGCGGATAACCCACTCACTGTCATCTCAGGAGTAGAGGGTGGGCACCCTATTTGTGTTTGTGTATCTTCGCCTGGAGCTGGCAGCCCGGGTGGTCCTGAGCACGAGGTCCTGCACTAGTGGCACAGCGTGTCTCTTGTAATAGAGGTCTGAAGAGCCTCTGAACCAGACTTTAAAATGTCCTTCACAACTCTCCTTGCTTCTGTTTGACCTCCTGCCCTCATCTCTTTGAGGCTTTGGGCTGCGGCGCCCTCCTCGAACTGAGTGAGTGTCCGCTGTCCCACAGCAGCCTGCGTCCTACGGGCCTTGCCCACAGCGCAGAGAGCTCTGTGTGCTTTGCTCTTTTAAGGAATTGTTCCGTTCTGCCGTTTTCCCCTCTTGGCTGATTCCTTTGTACAGTTTTACTACATACTTTTACTTACGTGGGGATATGGTAGTGCCCCACTACAAGTATTTGAGAATTGGGCATTGACTCATGATTTTAGGATTTAAAGTTTTTCATTAGAAGGTAGCAAATATTCCTACTCTTTTTACTCTCTAATTCCACTTGAGAAGAATATTAGAGAAATACTGACAAAATCAAAGATTTAGGTACATTTATAATATCACAATGTTATTTATAACAGTGAGAAATGGGAAATGGGCTAAAGGTTGTTGAATTATGCCAAATGAATCAAGAGTTGTGTTTTTAAGGAAAATTTAACAACCTGGATAAATGCTCATGGAGCAATAAGTGAAAAGAGCTACACATAAAAATTATGAAATATTACTCTAATTTTGTAAATGTAAAATATACTTTATATATGTAGAAATGTATAGATGTATAAATATTTATAGATGTATACATTTCTATATATATAGAAATAAGATGAAGGAAAAATATGCCATAATATTAACAGTTCTTCTGGTTGGTAGGACAGTTGGGGATTTTTCTTTTCTTTTTTTATCATTTTCTTCCAACTTTTCAACAATGAATGAGGGGAATGGGAGTCTTTTAACTTTGACACTTTTAGGTGAATTAAAAATTCAAATACAGAACCTGCTGTTGGTGATAGACATGTTTTAAGTGAATGTATTTTTTTTAGGTATAATTGCTCAGGCTTCCATTACAGGCAAGTGTGGTTTTTTTTTTTTTTTTTTTGAGGAAGATTGGCCCTGCGCTAATATCTGCTGCCAATCTTTCTCTTTTTCCTTTTTCTCCCTAAAGCCTCAGTACATAGTTGTGTATCATAGTTGTAGAGTTGTAGCTCTTCTATGTGGGACGCCACTTCAGCATGGCTTGATGAGCGGTGAGTATAGGTCTGCGCCCAGGATCCGAACCGGCAAACCTCGGGCCACGGAAGCAAACTTAACCGCTGTGCCCCCAGGCCGGCCCTGTCAAGTGTGTTTTGCACATTTCATTCTGCTTTTCTGGATTGTGCTCTTCAGGTTTCAGAGGCTTAGAGTCCGGGAGCCGGGACTTCGTGTGCCCAGTCACAGCCTGTCCCTCTGCGGCGTGGCTGTCTGGCATTTTCTCCATCTAGGTCTTGTGTAGTGATCTAAGCATGTGCTTCTCTGCAGAGGGGCTTCCTGACTGCAGTGAGCGTCTGCCCAAGGTCCCTGCACCGGATGCTTTGAGGGGCTAACGGAGGGTTCAGACTGAGTACACTTGACTGAATGTTGAAATGGCCCAAAGCAGTTTCCAGGCATTTGGGATAGTGCTGAAAACCAAAAAGACTTCTTTTTAAAGAAGTGGACTTAAATTCTGAAGTGGACTCGTAGAGATTTGGAGGGGCAGAGAAGCCAGACAGTGAGAGTTCACTGGGTTTCACAATGCGTTCAACCAGCCCCTTCCCCACAGGGTCTGCTGTGCCTCTTTCAGGGCTTTGGCCTGTGTTCACATCACCTTAACTGAGAGCCACCTACAGCTCACAAACGAGAGGCAAATACGTTACGTACAGGTCCCCCTCTTCCTTCTAGGACATAACGGGAGTGGAGCAGCCAAGCTTTTATTCTACTGAATAGGATTTGTTTTGGGTTGGAGGGTAATGAGAGAATTAACACAATTGGGCATAATCTAAATCGGGACAAAATAACATGAGCTAAGATTGTTGAGTAATTTTAAGATATTGAATAGAAATCTTTTCTTTGAACAGCAATAAATAAAAAAAGTATACTTTCATAAATCCTTTGAAGTTGCCAGGGTTGCCAGTCTGCAATCACGGCCATCTCTAAGGCCTTCTCTCTTGCAGGTTGATTTTGTTCACACATCATCCTCATCATCTTGGTCGTCTGTAGGAACTGGACCTTTCATTTCCATGTTCTGTTCGATTCTTAGAGGCTTCCAGGATGAAAACCTCACCTAAACTCACTTTCCACTGATTTGGCTCTTGATTTTTGACAGTTTACTGCAAGGTTCTACAACTTTGGAAAACTTTTCCACAAACATGTTAAAAGAGCAATTATTTGGAAACTGAAAAAATAGGGTTGTTGTTGGGAAGGAATGCCACCATGTTTATCTCATGGCAGGTGATTGTTCCCCATGTATCCACTGAACATCAGCCCCATCTAAACTTCAGTCCACGTGATAAACTGCGCTGCGTGGCAGCAGCAGCTCGGGATGGGAACACTGCAGTGTCTGGTAGAGGGGGTGCGCTGGCCCTCGGTGCTGAGGGGGACTGTGTGGCACCTTCCCCATCCCCTTTCTCAACTCCAAAGAAGTGAATTAATGGGCTTTTACACCTCCCACTTCCTGTTAGAGCTATAAACTCATTTTAATGTTCCTCTTTTGAGAATTAATAAATCCAGTGAAGAATTGGCTAAATGGAATGGGCCTGTTTTTCAGTGTTCTTGCATGAACTCTTTGAAGAGCTCTCTTAGAATGAGTCTTGAAAATTTCATCATCTTGCCTCCAATGGAGAACCTGCAGCCACCTCATCTGAGACCATTCAGTTCAGTCCATGTCTTTGCACAGCTCACCCATCCAGTGCATGTTTCTGTAAGCTTAGGCTGTTTCTTTGTGGCAGTCTTTCCTTTCTGTCTTTTTTCTTTTGTTTTAATTATAACTTCATCCATTTTCTAAGAAAAATGTCATGTACAAGGGCTTTTTTAAATTTCGAGTTGCGTTATTGGGAACCATCATTTTCTGCTTCACCTGCCAAACCAACCTAATGTTCATTGCTTTGGGGTATTTTGTACCTAATTATTCATATTTTGGGAAAAGATAAATGCTCAAAGAGTCTTTCCTTGGTCTCTGAAACCATGAGGCTCTCATTCATGAGCCCTTCTGTTGGGAGTAGCTATATTTAGGACTTTAGCTTCTTAAGTCTTCTCGTTTGTGACTTTTGCCGTCATCATACCAAATGACTTTTGCATCGTCACTGCTTCTTGTCCCTTAGAGTCTCAGATCTCAGTGTCTATTCCATCACCTCTGGGCTTTAATTTTATCTCAAAAAGTACATCAGTGTAGAAGTCCCAGAATGTTGTGTCTAAATAGTCTTTTGTTAAAATGCTGGTTACCTCTGATCTTTCAAAATATTAATTTCCTTTTGAAATTCCAGATATTTTCCCTCTTGGCTCTACCAGCTGACCTGGATCTTGATACTCAGTGCTCTCTGGAAACTGTCTGACCGATCAGACGAGCTGCTCCGCTAGAGCATCAGCGCTGTCCAGGGGAGGCCACCTCTGGACTGGGGTTGGGTTTCCTGACTCTTCTGCTTAATTTTTCTCAGAAAGTTGCCATTTAGTTGAAAGTGTAACATCATAAATTGGGGAAGGGAGGAAGGGTGAGAGTCAGTCAAAGTCAATTATTTCCCTTTGGGCGGCCGGCTAGGCGTGTGCTGGCTGCGTCCCCACATGAGGTTAGGCGCTGGCGTGGGCGACCCCGTGCAACCTGCAGGGCATGCAGAGGAGGTGGGCGCCGGGCGTGCGCCCCTGCGCTCTGCTCAACTGGAAACTGCTTGAGGTGCCAGAGCTTTTTCTGTGACTGAATTCTGGCTTTGGAAATAAGCAAGTAACACTCTTTATCTTTTCGTTCTTTCCACTTTCCCCACAGCCTGGTTCCTCAGAGGGAAAGAAGGAAAAGGAATGCTTTGCAGCAAATGCCCTTAATGGCATTATGGTACTCTCATTGCTCGGCTGCCTTTGCCCTCCCTTCTTTTTTTATTGTCTTTTATTGTTTTCTTATTTTTTGCAGAACTGAACTTTTTTCTGCTCTGCCTTTCTCTCCTGTTTGTCTTTACTTTATGGTTGATACTGTACTGTCTTTTCCAAAGTATGTCATTAAAAAATTGTACAAAGTGTGTACTTTTTAGCATGTCAATATTTTCATTATGTTGCCTTCCTTGTCTTTGATAACTACATATGGGACACTTGAAAACCTTCATGGTAAAATCCTTTTTTTTTCCCCCCTATAGTCCCTCCATTTCAAGGACTAAAACAGTCTTGCGTTAAGTAAAAACCTGTGACCAGAACTGAAGGAAGACTCTAGGAACAGAAAACCACAACAGGACTTAGCACAATTTATTTGGAAACAAAACAAAATTGCAAAAGCCTTAGCTGCTTTCCACCTAAGAAGTGTATTCAAGGAAGAAAATATCCACTGGAGTTGAAATAACTGCATGAGTTTGGGTACAAGTGAATGACTTGAAGACAGCCCAACTCTCCTTTGGTAGAAACGTCTCAAGTTTACGACAAAAAAGCTGTTGTAAATTGAGTCTCAGGTGTAAATATCCAAGCCCTCTGTTATCAGGAGAGCTGACCAGTCTGTGCGGTGCATGTGTGTCCCTGTGATGGCAATCATTTTAGCTGCTGGCCTTCAGAAGAATTGAGGATCTGATGGAGGTTTTTTACGTATTTATTTTCTGTTTACCCTGTGTCAAAATTTATCAAGATAAAACAGGCATTACTGAAATGGTACTTTCTGTAATTTGATACTATTTGGTTTAATCATCTTCACTTTAATATTTGTAATACTCTTGTAATTTAACTTTGTTAAGTACCCAAGCTGCTTGTCTTCCACCAAAGAGTGCTTTATTAACAAGAATCTGAAAACCACATTTGAAGACTGCTGCATGTTGAGATATAAAGTGGTACTTTTGTAACCTAGAACTTGCAAGAGAATATTAATGATAGCTTTAGAAGACTCAGGAGGAAAAACTGGCTTCAGAGTTGGAAGATTGTTGTAAGTCATTTTTATGTCGTTTAGGGACTGAAGAATGCCAAGGCTGCCCACTGTTTGCTTGCCCAGTCATACAAATTAAAATCATATTTCCTTCCTTGCATAAATATCCCCCACACTGTTGGTGTTTCCCCTTGGAAACAGCAATCCCAAATAATGGTGGCTTTTAAAAAAAAAAAGTTACCACTCTATTAGGGTCTTTCTCTATAGCATTGTAGATTTTTTTCTGTTCTGTGATCAGCCTAAGGCCCTTCATACACCCTTTGATTTTAGTAACAGTTATTTGCATCTGGATTTCTGTTGTTTGTGAATAAGAAACTCACTGTTGCCTTTGGTTAGAGACTACAACTAATAACTCCTTGCAGAGTGCCTTCTCCCCTCAACCCTGTAGAAACACAGCAGAGTCTGATATAAAGCAATCATAAAAACAGAACTTGTTTGAAAAAAAAAATGGGGCCCAAAATAAAAGAATATTTTGCAATCAACTTGGTTACTCCCTAATAAGAAGTGAATGGTTTTAGTTATTGTTAACCACTGTTTGCCTGTCCCGGTTTGGAGAATTGGGGGTAGAAGATGGAAAGGCAATAGAAGGCAAATGCCTTCACATTACAAGATGAAGGAGTCAGGCCAATAGGCAATTCCATTTTAAAAAGCTGCCTTTTTAACAAAACTATGAGGAATAAGAAGTGGTTGGAATAAACAGATTAACGACTGTTAATGGGAAAAGTAATTGGAAGGCCATGGCTCCCTTTTGGCATTTACTTTCTTGAAGCAAATTGTCAGGTTGAATCGCTTTCAGGGGAGATGGAAGATGCCACAGCTTTGCCCAAACAAGCAGCTCTTCCCACCAGTCAGGCTTTTCAGCCCTGGGGGCTAGATCTCAGAAAAACTGTGGTTTCTACCCCTGTAAGGGAATAGACACAAAGACCCACCTGCCTGGGGGAAGACCCCTCTTCAAGAAGCTTTGGGTGGGAGGAGAAACATTCCGTTTGCTCTCCTGTGCTGGGAGACAATACTAAAGATTCAAACTGTGCCCAGACATAAGACATTGAATTCTCAGGGCAACTCTTCTTCTCGTTGTTACACTTTTAAAGGCCATCTCCTGCATAAATAATACAGGTAGTTGTGAAAATCAATCTTCTATCTGAACCGTTCTTGGTTTAGCCTTTTATTACGTCAGAGCAAGTAAATGTTCTGTCCTTCACAGCAAATAAGCCATTTGGTGTCTTGGCCAAGAGTGAAATATTTGGACTTCAGTGTTAACCACAGTACTTTTTATTTTACAAATTGCCTTTTCGTGTTGGCTGCTCATGTTTCCAGCTAGAATTGCCGTCACTGTGGCTCTTTCTAAAAATCCTTTCATTTAACAGGCTCACTGAAATTAGTCATAGGAAACCGGTGATTTGATAAAGAAGCGTTCCTTGGAGCACAGAAAGGACATGGGATTGTGCTTCAGATGGGTTGCATAGCACAGTGTTAAACTTACTGGAGACAGCTAGAATCCAGGAAGTCTATGGGTCTGAAGATGGAAAGTTCTTCCTGCTGTGAATAAGAGTGGACTCTTTTTTCTCCCCCCAGCTGAAACTTCAACACACCCAGAGTCTTCTGAGATTCTAATTTCGAGTCCTTGTTACAGAAGACCTTGTTGCTATGGAATATGAAACACAGGGCATGTCAGATGGAGAGATTCTCTTTAACTTAAGAGCCTTAAATAGCTTTGAAAGTACACCAAGACAGTTTCCACTGGAATTAAAATTAGAAATGAATATTTGTAGGTGCCCTTGAAGCTTTTTGGGGTCTCAAATCATCAAGAGTCAGGGACAGTTTAAAGGAAGAGTGTTTGCAAAACTGGGTAGCTAGAAATGTAGACGGACTTCTGTTTTGTCATGCTGAGGAAACCTAGAAATCTCTCCTCACCCTCAGTGAAGAGGGATGGCCCTGAGCAGTGCCTCACTTTGCTGGTCGCCTTACTTGTCAAATGTAGCTGCTTCCGAGCCAGTGGTGCGCTGCTCTTCTGGTCTCCAGAATTTTCCTGCTCTAAACTTGATCCCCTGAGCCGATCACCCCCCACTCCCTTCCCTGCCCCCCTCCCCCACTCGCAAGGGTGATTTCTACCTCTTTTCTTGGGCCCAGCCTAGTTTTGGAGGAGTTGCTCAGTGTCCTCATGAGGCGAGTGTGTTTGCCCTTGGACCAGAGACCTGGGTTGGTGTGCTGTGTGGACCCCAGCCTTCCGGGCAGCGTGTGCCTAGAGCTCCTGGAGCCTGTCCTCCACTGGCATCACCACCTGTGACAGATGAGCAGTGCGCTCCTTTGATGTTTGTTTTAAAAGTAGCTTCACTACTTCTCTTCATACGTTTTTAAAAGTAATCATTGCACTTTGGAAAGCAGTGCTCATCAAAAACAACCTTAAAAACATATCTTAATCATTTACTAGTCGTCTCCCACAGAAGCTGTCCTGGTGAGGCTGGCCGCTGTCTTCCCTTCCCCCTGAATCTGAGGGTTCTCCACATTGCTAAGGGCAGTACTGCAGATGTGTGTAGAAGACCGGACAGTTCACCTAGACTGTAGGAAATTACCTCTTTAATTGCCCAGTAGAATTCACTGTCAGGAGATTCACCTGATTATAGTACCACGGTTTTATATTAATAATTTGCAGACTTTTATCTAACCTGCACTCATGTACAGATTATTAAAAGTTTTAAAATGTAACTGATTAATCAGTATTTGATCAATCATTGTCTTGATTTTTTTTAATTAAAATGTATATTTCTAATCATATTTTATAAAGCTGAGAGAACTGGTTGAATGATTGTTTATTTTTCTGAAGGTATTTTTAAGATAAAGCTTCCTAATGGCCTGTAAACTTTGCATATCTATGTAGTTTGATACGTATTGTTGCATTTGAAAATCTTGTGTATTGTAACTGGTTTTATACAAAATATTGAATAGTGGAAATTGTATAATTATAATCACATAATTAAAAGTATTAACAAAGCTGCCTTTTGGTTTATTGTGTTCACTTCCTGACCATTCTGAATCATGGTAGGCAGTGGTGAAAATAGAAAGCGGACATAACCCTCTGTGTGAGGTTGCCAGGACTGCTCTAGCAGAACACCACGACTTAAACCACAGACACTTATTGTCTCATGGTCTGGAGGCTGGAAGTCTAAGATCAAGGTGTGGCAGGGCTGGTTTCTCCTGGGGCTTGTCTCCTTGGGCTTTCCTCTGTGCTCCAGTTCCTGGTGTGCCTCTGTCTGTCCTCCATTTCTTATGACACCAGCCAGACTGGATTAGGGCCCATCCTAACGGCCTCATTTTGACTTAATTACCTCCTTAAAGGCCTTGTCTCCAAAGACAGTCACTTTCTGAGGTACATGGGGGTTTAGGGCTTCAGCTTAAGAACTTGAGGGTCCCAGTGCCAGTGTGGGTCCTCACACCCCCAGTGACTGCTTGCTCCTCCTCCTCCTCCCGTGGGTCTGAGTGCGGTTGGAAGGCACTGGAAGGCAGCGTGGTGGCAGCAGTCCTCCACAAAGGTGGTTTGTACCTTCTCTGTGGCGTGCCTTCCTTCATCACTCTCTCCCTTTTGTTGCCCACAGAGGTAGTTTCCAGCCTTTTATGATTGTAACGCTGCATAAACATTCTCAAATGTAAATTCTTCCTGGGTGCTGCTCATTTGGGGATAAATTCTTACAAAAGGCATTTCTAGGTCAAGGATATGCAAAATTTTAAAGCTTTTGATGTATAGTGCCTCAAAAAGCAGCTTAGTATAATTGTGAAGAGCATGGATTCTGGACCCAGACTGCGTGCAAACCTTTGCTCTGCCGCTTATTAGCTGTGTGATCTGGGCCAGAATTGCAGTATCTAATATGCTTATATGAGGATTGAGTTAATGTTTGTTAATTACTTAGAACAAGCACCTGGCACATACTAAGAGCCATACATATTGTTTAATAGAAAAATTAAAATATTGTCTTCATGCTCTCCAAAAGGACTGTGACTGTGCAGTCCCCTGTACCCCGCCTCCCCCATCAGCAGCTGTCGTGACACTGCGGACCTGGTTAACTAATAGCAGGACACTGGCCCCGGTTCCATGGTCATGGGTCATTGTCACTCCCTGCTATATATAGTCCTCTTTTAGCTGCCCCATTATTAAGATTTGCGGCACTTTGTCTTCTAAGTGGTTGGCACAGTATGTCCCTATGTTATAGTCTCACCATTTTTCTCAGCTTATTGGGGGAGCAAACGGACCCTTTGGGCAAACGCTTCCATGTTCCTCCCTAGGCATCCCAGCTCTGTCACTGGGCATGCTGGCCCAGCCATGTGGGAATGAAGACGCTTCCACGCTGCTCCTGTAGCAGGTCTGAACACCTTGCCTTGTCTCTAACTGTGTCTCATCTCTTTGCTAGCAAGTCTGCATGGCTTTGACATGCTTCTGGATGACAGGTGCTCTGTCCACACTGAAATGCCCAGGTAAGGAGGCCTCCTGCCCGGCAGGGCCGGACCCTATGTGGGCTGGCTACCACCAGGGCACTGGCCTTGGCCCCTTGGATTCTTATAATGGCCAGATATATTCATAAATGGGGGGGGGGGCTTTGGGTAGGAAAAGACAGTGGAAGAGGTAGTATGGTTTGTGCGTTGTTTTATTGGAGAAAGACAATGGCTTCTCATCACGGTTTGCTTCTCTACTTAAAACAAGATGACTTGTCAGGTGGGACAGTTCTTCCTTGCGTAGGACTCTGGAAAATGCAGCCAGTCTGGCATCCCCCACCTACTAAATGCCAGTCATGTTCCTAGCCATTGGATAATCCAGACACCCCCACACACTTTCAACCACCGTCGGAGGCGGTGCTGCCCCCAGTTGTGAACCGCTGATTAGCTTCAAGTACAGCTTCACTGAGCAATGTCGTGGAGACAGTGACAGCTGCTCTTGGGACCCTGCTGAAGTGAATATTGTTCTCCTGCCTTGTTCTGCTCTGGCAGAACCACCACCAGAGCACCATAGGAAGGCCAGCGATGGGCATGTCCTTAAGCAGTAGCAGAGCGTTCACACAGCATTGCTGGGCAGGAGAGGACAGGGTGAGGGGGTGGCTGGTGGCCACCCTGGATCACTCTTGTTCACAGTGATTCTGCTCTGGCCAACCCCAAATCTGCCTTGCAGTTAACCAAGG